AACCCCGGCAGTGCCAAGGGCCCGCCGGTGATTAACGAGTGCCCTGCAATTCCCAACTCATCATTAATTTTCCTCTCCTGCTTCAAAGCCTCCCCCCGACTGCCACCTTGACCTGAACCGTCCGTCTGTCTGTCCCACACATGCCTGGGTGCTCGGTGCTGCAGCCGGGAGCCCCTGGCTGGGTGCTTTGCTGCCAGGGTGGGGGCACCCACAGGCTCTGGGTCGCTTTTTGGGGGGCAGAGCTGTGGGGCAGGGGAAGGAGGAGTAGGGCAAGGGCCGGACAGCAGGGAGGGTGGAAAGATGGAGGGAAGGCAGCCGGGAAGGAAGAGGAGGCAGCCGGCGGGCATTACCTGCGACAAGCGTCCGACCTCCAGGTAGAAGCAGATGATGAAGGCGTTCCAGCCGACCCACAGCACCAGCCACACCGCGTACTGCCGAGAAGAGAGGCGGTCAGGGCATGCCATGCCGAACGGACATCCCCCGGTCCAGCCCCGCTCCGCTCCGCTCGCTGGACCCCGCCAGATCCACAGGGATTTGGGGTTGGATATGGGAGGGGACCTGGGGCTGAGCCATCCCTGGGGGTGACAACGCTGCACCGGGGCGTGGGGAGTGGCATCCGTGGCGGTACCTACCATCATGAGGTATTTGGATCTGTACTGGATGGTCCCAAAAATACCCAAAATAACGGCCATGATGTGTAAAAAATTAGCCAGGATGGGTGCCCACTGGTAGCCCAGGAAATCAAAGATCTGCCTCTCCAGCGCCGCTACCTGCAACAGAGCAAAGGAGGGGTTGCAGGTATTAAAGCAGGGCATCGGTCACCGCAGCAGCTCCCGGGATGCTAAAGGCAAAGAGCAGCCGGTAATTAATGGGAAATCCCACGGATAATTAGTCGCAACGGGCTGAGATGTCTGCGTGATGCATCGGCCGGCGGCGGGCGAATGCATGGTGGCGAGCGAGGGGTTATTAGGAGTAACCGGAGCTGAGAAGGGGGAGCAGGGAGATGTCAGCTTGCTGCCCCGCCAGCACCCTCTGTGCCTCAGTTTCCCCATTGCTCAGGTCTCAGGCACTGCTGAAAATCACCCTCCAGGCTGGGTTTATCCCTGAGCTCAGCTTATCCAGGGAAAACCTCCCGTTCAGGTCGTGCAGGGGGTCCCCCGGGATTTTGCAAGCGATTTTTCTGCCCGTCCTGGCCAGCTCATCGCATGCCTTCCCCTGTTTAATGCCACTGGGTTTTGATCACCATTATCTTTGGTAATCCATAAATAAGGACGTGCTGCAGCTTAATAAACTGCACAGCACGCAAAATCAGAGATGGTACCTGGTGTGATCTGCCTGTTATCCCTGCGCTTATTTATGGCTCTATTTGCTACCAGCTCAGGGTCTATTCCTCTTAATTATAGGATTAGCTTAAAGAAAGGCGGTAGCAAAGGTGAGGTGGGAACGCTGGAGCATGTGCCGGTGGTTTTAAGTTAAAAAATGGAGATTTGATGAGGCTACGGTTTTATAGGGAACTTTTAGGGAACTTTGGACACCACAGTCCCCGAGGGCGTGGGGACAGGGCTGCAGCCACATGCGTCTCCAGCAGCTTTGCAAACCAAAAAAAAAACCTCTTTACATTTATCTTTTGGACAGCCCAGCCCTGTCTCATCGCTCTTTGAGATGACCCAGATGCACCCGATAAAGCCCGCGAGCGCCGGGGCCCTGAGCCCTCCCCGTGGCACCGTGCCTCAGTTTCCCCTCCTGGTGCAACGCCTCTCATCCTGGCGGAGAAACGGGAGTTTATCCTGAGAAGCGCAGGAGAAAACAGGTTTTACATCCCCCTCCCTGTTCACCGGCAGCTCCCCGCAGTGATCTGTGTTTAGGGGAGCTCCATCCTGGCGCTCCCTGAAGCTCCCATGGGGGCCCCGCAGCGTCCCCGCCCATCCAGCCCGACTTAATGCGTCCTAATTACAGGGCAGAAATAAATGAGGTGGCAAAAGTCCTTCCCTAAGTGTTTCGTGAGGATGAGGCATGGCTAATGCATCCGTGTGTGCGACCGCCAGCCGTGCCTCAGTTTCCCCACCCACGAAGCATCACGCACCCATTGCAGCAGCCTGGCGAGGGCTCTAACTAATGCCTGGTGTCG